CCTGCTGCAGCAGGAAACCTTACATTGTCTGGATTATTTTAGTCCCTCTAACAGAGACGAAAATTGCCAGAAAGAAGAAGGAGTTTACTAGGGCAAGGCTGCCATGCAGAGGAAGGCAAAGATAGTCCTTGACTTATGGCTACAATTGAGCCCAAAATTTTGGTTACTAAGCAAGAGCGTTAAGTGAGCTTCACCACATTTTACCCAATCAGTGACATATCCTGGTGAGTGACATCAAATTGGTCATGCCCACCCAGTCACATGACCACCAAGCCACACCCACAAAATAGGCCACGCCTACGTAATAGCTAGTAAAAAAATTGAAACCCACTCCTGGGTAACATGATCACATTTGGTGAGCTCAGCAACTAGCTCACTGTTACAGATATTTGCAGCAATTTGAGGGGCTTTTTGGCCAGGTTTTAGCATTTATTTCCAGTTTCTGGCAAAAAAAAAAACCTCTCAGGGAAAATGGATTTGCTTAACAATTATCATAATCACTTAGCAGTTGCTGTAGTTGATTAACATCTGTCAATAAGAAAGGTTATAATGTTGAATTTTGTCATGTGATTCCTTGACTTATGACTCTAACTACTTATGTCCATAATTCCAGGCTCATTCATAGTCATAAGGACTACCTGTAAAAGCAAGGAACAATCATTTTTTCTATTCTTTTAAATCTGATATCCTATTAACATGGTTGAACCCTAAATAAAATAAAATTATATTAATTAAAATAATTATATGTATATGTATATGTATATATGTATATGTATGTATGTATGTACGTATGTATGTATGTATGTATGTATGTGTGTATAATATAAATTCTATTTGATATATAATTAAAAATATATTTCTAAAAGGCAGTTATAATATCCACAATCAATTCCATTAAATCCCTTGTTTCATTTTCCAAAAAGAGGGGAAAAATTCAATGTTACCTTCTCTTCAATGTCTACTTGTATGGCCCCATTGTGGACCAGCTGGTCACTGATATTGTTACCCGAGATTACGTCCATCAGAATGTTCTGATTCTTTATTGCCTGGACAAAATTATCAATTTTTTCACCTGGAAAATAAAACAAAGAGGGACAATGGCATATTTTTTTCCAAACAAAGAAGAGAGTACCAAATAATCAACAATACAATATTTAAATATAATCATACCTAATACTCAATTCATATTTAATTGTAGATTAGGATGGAGAACTCTGACTCTCTACCCTTTATTAAATTCTAAATCTGTGTGTCTTTCTATTTAGTGAGATTTTGGAAGTAATTATAAAGAATCCTTGCCATGGGAAAATGTTTTTGTTCTGAATTCTTAAAAAAAAAGTCTTTAAAAATTGGGCACTAGCGGGATCTAGAAGGAACTAAAGATTACAAGCAATGGAGATTACTCACATCTGACATAAATACAGAGTAAATCAAACTATTTTAACATTGGACATATTGAATGATAATTTTGAACAATGGACACAGAAATCAGTTTATTAAGAATATCTATCTCTAAAGATAGACTGTGGTTTAAAAGACATTATGGAAGAGGAACAAATTTTACTTGGCAAAACTGACACTGATTTGAACGTTTCTTTAAAAACAACTGGATATAAAGATGATAAGAAAAATATGTCATATGGACATAAAAAAGAAACTGGCAAATGTCTTAATACATAAAAGCATAATGCATGGTCAACAAAACACCAAAGGAAACAGTTTGAATTATATATGGTAACAGAATGATATGTGTAACCAACAGACTGTGGTTTAAAAGACATTATGGAAGAGGAACAAATTTTACTTGGCAAAACTGACACTGATTTGAACGTTTCTTTAAAAACAACTGGATATAAAGATGATAAGAAAAATATGTCATATGGACATAAAAAAGAAACTGGCAAATGTCTTAATGCATAAAAGCACTGTATAAATAAAGCAAGAGAGTGACTTGAATTGTTTTCTTAAATTGGATTTACAAAAAAAGCTTGTTAAAGCTTTGAAAAAATTTATGAGAAGGGACAAAGAAAAAACTAAAAGAAATGAAGTTCTACGACATTACTCGAAGAGACTAAAAAGTTCATGATGGTTAGAAGTAAAAGGAAGGAATATAAAGTTGGTTTATTTGATCATGGTTAAAATATGTTATTATCTCTGATAACCCTTAATGGAGTTTTGCTGATCAGGACTAAAACAAGGTTTTAAGGATTTGTTTATAGATAAGATATGGGATATATCAAAATCTAAGGGACTGGTTTGGACAAAACTCAGCAGCACTTTTTCGTGCGGCTGTTGATAAAAGTAGGATCACCAACATGATCACCAATGTCCGATGATGGATATGGCACAGGAAAAAGAAGAAGAATGGGATATAGGAAGAAAAGAACATTTGTTGTATTTCAATAGATAGTGATTTTTTTTCCTGTTGTTTCTTTTGTTTATTTTTTATTAGTTTTTATCATTGTGTTTATAATTTATAATATAAATACTATGAAAAAAGAACATTATATTCCTCACCCTTACCTGTATTGTTAAGGATCAGAAGTCCAGAACTTTCCTTGAAATTCCACTTTCCTGGCTGAAAGTATAACCCAGGATGAAGCTCTGCATAATGCATGGTCAATGAAACACCAAAGGAAACAGTTTGAATTATATATGGTAACAGAATGATTCCAGAAATTAGTAAGCTGTAATAAAAGATAAATACAAATTAAGCATAGTAGAGATGTGAAATCCAACAAGTGCCATTCTACTTAGTTTATTAAACTAGACACAGTAAGAACAATATTATTTAGAAGAAAAGTGATCTTTATTAATTTCCCTGAGTTTTGAGCCACTGTGGAAAACTAATTGCAGCCCTAACTATTTAAAAATCTTAATTAGTTTTAAAAAATAGTTTACTGTACATGAAGCCAATGGCATCCTGGTAAACAAAGCAAGTCTTCCCCAACCCATAATTTTGTATATTTTATAGTTTTATAGTATCTTTATATGAGGAAAAGTAGTTGTACTTTCTACAAAAATGTATAATCTGTCAATGAGTAACATGGACAGAGCAACTTCACTGGATTAAAAAGCCAATTAACAAAATCTGATATTTTCAGAGTGAAATAGGATTATAGCAAAAAATTATCTTGGGTATTTGTCTTTTTATTTGAACAAATAAAAAGGGGATCATCCATGCCCTCTCGCTGAGATCATAATTGGTCTCCGTCCTTGGAGAAGAATTTTTTTATATCCTTGGACCCTTTAATGATCATTAAGAGAGAGGAAGAGGGAGAATGGGGAAGGGAGGGAAGGAGATGAAGAGAGGAGAGAGAGAAAGGGAGAGAAAGGAAAGAACATGGGAGGGAAACCTTTATTTTGTTCAAGATTCATGCAGGCAAGTTTTCACTTCAATCAAGGCATATATTTTGGCCCTTATTCCATAAGAAGATTGCACATTCAACATGCTTCAAATATAACTAATAGATCACTCACAGGGCTCCCCAGATTTTCCATTCCCTCTTGAGATTTAAAAAGTGCATTCTTGCAATGGCACAAACTTGTTGTCTCCAGAGTTTTAAGCCCTTCACTGTCACTTTTCCCATCTCTGACAAGAATAGCAGATCCTGTTCCATTTCATCCTTTCCTGGTTCTTCTCCTTCCCCTTCGTGATGGACTCCATAATCTAAGGTAATTTTCAACATACAATCAGTGTGCTTATTTCAGTTGAAGAAAGTCTTCATTTTCTAATCTTCATCCCTCCCTACTCCCTTCTAGCTTCTGTCTTCATTGTACTCTTTGCAATTTCTCTTCAATTATTACACTAAAGTACTTACAGCAGCTGGGATTCGATCTGAGGAAGGAAAATAGCAAATTAAAAGTCAGGCATTATGGAGGGGTGGGATCTTAAAGAAATATGTAAAATGTTGAAAACTATGCGTGAATCATTTGGGTTGAGAAAGGATGATAATTTGAATATTATGGAAAGAAATGAAATTGAACACCCTATGATAGAAAAAGCAAGAAAGAATGAGAGAAATAATAAGCAGATAAAGGATCTCATTGGACTTAATAGAGACATAAAGAAGAGGGAAGAACGTGTCCCAATAAAAAAACAAAAAAAGGGAAAAGGAAAGAAAAGAATGGAACAGACAGGCAGCATGATGAAAGAAAGAAAAGAGTTCACTACAGGGGGAAAATATAATAAGAAAAGAAAAGGGGGAAATAGGCTGAGGAGACAAAAGGAAAATGAAAAAGTTATGACAAAAATTCAGAGATTTAGATTTAAGATTTTTTTTAAATAAATGGAAAGGAAATTAATAAATTGGTAGCTGAGAGGGAGGGAAGGTGGATAATGTTTGTAAAGCATATACTGTTGTGAACTTTAATTAACCGTAACACTGAAATGTAATATGTGTGTATGATATAGAAAGAATTATAAGCAAAAAAGAATTAAAGGTAAATTAACTAAGGTGAATAAAGATAGTAGGCCGGCTGATACATATCAATAACGGAAAGTGAAATGATTATGCCGAGTTACAGATAAGAAAAATATTAGTTGGGAAAGTTATCAGAAGAGGGGTGGGGAATGGAGGGAAAATGTGGAAATACATCTAATAATGTATAGTTAAAATTACAAGATGAAACAAAATAGGGGTGTTTAATGATGTAAAAATATGTAACAGCATGATGAAGATAGCGGGAAGTCTGAATCCATCTTGCACTGCATCCAAAAAAGAGGTTGTTAGGGGGGTGGGAGGAGAGGAAACAATTAGAATTCGTATAAAGGTATACCTTTAAAAGAAAAACTAGCAATATTGAAAACATTTTTTTCACTTCTTTTGTTGGGAATATAATTATCAATTCCAATGATAGTAAATGGGGTTTGCTAAAAGGTGGAAATACACCACGTAAAATAGAGAATGGAGAGGGGGAAGTAAAAGGGAGGAAAAGAGCAGAAGAGAGGGAAGGTGTGGAAAGAGAGGAGAGGGAAAGAGCAAGGGAAAGCAGAGAAGAGAGAGGGAAGAGGGAAGAAGAAGATAGGGAGGAGAAGAGAAGGAGACGAGGAGAGCTGAAGACGAAATAGACTATAATATGGTGAATGGAAAGCAGAAGAGCAAACAAAAATTGAAGAGGCTTAATGGCAAAACAATTGATATACTATTGAATACTCAAAAATGTTTATTAAGATGTATAGGTATGCTTTGGATTATATTATATGTATGTTAAAAAATAAAAAACTTTTTTTCTCAAGTACTTACAGCAGAAGATATTCCAAATACTTTACCGTCATAATTTTTTTCATTTCCTTCTAGTTTCAAGAAGACATCTTCCAAAGTTGTCATAGTAACTCCATAGTCAACTATTCCTAGATCTGTCTGTTGATCGATTTCACTGAACAAACCTGAGTGGACAAAAACAAATCACATGCTTGACTTTGATTTGTCCTTCTAATTTAAGTCAAGCTATTCGCCAAAGCCAGCAAGCCTAGCAAACACTTGAAGGCAGGACAAGAAGCAATGGATGAAAACCAGGGGTGAAATCATCTGAAGTCTGCTATCTGTTCGCTTCCTGTGTGCATGCACGCATGCTCACCGCAGGTGGTAAAAAGACTTTTCTGAGTCTCCAAAGGTAAGTAGAACAGCAAGGGGGAAAACAGTTGTGCTATCCGATTTAGATTCGCTAGAAAGCAAGATTTCCTGATATCTAGCGAATATAAATAACACGGCACAGCTGATTATCGCACAGCTGATCGTCGGAACCTTTTTTTAAAACTTTTTTTAAGCATTTTTTTACTACCGGTTCTGGTAGTAAAAAAATGCTTTAAAAAGTTCCAACAATCAGCTGTGCCACCCAATCGTCGTAACTTTTTAAGCACTTTTTTACTACTGATTCACGTGACCTGATAGTAAAAAGGTGTTTTAAAAAGTTCTGATGATCAGCTGTGTGACAATCAGCTGTGCTGCACAATCGAACTTTTTTAAAACTTTTTTTTATTACCAGTTTGGGTGAACTGATAGCATTTTTACTACTGGTTCAGGTGAACCAGCCCGAATCAGTAGCATTTCACCCCTGATGGAAACTTATGAAAGAGAGATCCAATCTAGAAATAAAAAGAAATTGGTGCGAATTTGTAGAATGGCTTGCCTTCCAAAATTGTGGGTGCTCCATCACTGGAGGTTTTAAAGAGAGTTTGGGGAGCCGTTTGTCTGAAATGATATAGGGTCTCCTGCTTAAGCAGATGGTTGGATTAGAAGACCTCTAAGATCCTTTCCAGTTCTCTTATTCTGTTGTAAGAGTCCATCATAATTTTACTTAGATCCATTGGCATATAATAGAAAGCAAGTTAAATTTGTGTGACTTCAACTATATGGGTTCTTTCAGAAAAGAGTAACTAAATTCATTTTTATTTACTCGATAATTACCTGGAAATTTATTCACATGTTCTGAAGGCAGGATGTATCTCAATTCATTTTCACGTTGTCCTGATAATTTCACAGAAGGAATATAGTGCTTAACCAATGATGTTGTTCTTTCAGAATCACAAATTTCATTTATATGCATCCTGTGCATGTTAAACAAACATTCAGGCAGACAGCAATGACTAAGAGTTGCATTTTTTTTCCAGTAAATAAACTTGAATTTATGGACCTCATTTTTATTTTCATGTAATTTTCTGTTTTTGTTATAACCTTATATAAGCCATCCAGAATCACAAACTGCAAGATGGGCAATCATATGAATTATTTAAATACATATACATGCACATATAAAATATATGCTTATAATATGCTAAATTATATGAAATAACAATGCATAAAATATTCTGATTTAATGGACATTCAACTAACATGTATCACATTTCCCACAAAATTGTCTAAACTGAGAGGTTCCTATATTTGGGGAAATCAATTAAGTAACAATCTGTTAATTTCTGATCAAATTCAATCTATTAAAAGTTGGATAAATTTAAATCTAGTATTTAATTTCTTTTAGCATTTATCCTGTAGCTACAAAACACATAATGTGATATTATATTTTTGATATTTTATCTAAATCCCTCTTTCCCCTCACTCATAGAAATAGGATCATTGCACCATATCACGTTTCATTAAGTACACTTTTGCATAGATGCATCCTAACTATATAGCTAAGTGTCATCTCCCAGCACCCCTCATTACTAACTGGGAGGGTTAAGATTGCTTGGAGTTTTAGTTTGGCAACTTCTGTAAGATCCCATATTAAACAGAGTTGTTAAATTAATAGCAGATTTATTAGTATTTCAGTTCCTTGCTCAAACGAAAAATGTTTTATAGATCTATTGAATTTGTCCATTTCTTTATTTTTAGATTTATATATTCCTCAATTACCATTTTGTCTTCAAACTTTAATAGAAACTTATAGATTCTAAGAATATCAGTGTCCTCAATGCGGGCCCCTTGCACACAGACTGCATAGAAGTGATAGGAAACACCATCGCCAAACAAATAAAACACAATGCTGTCATAATTCTAGTACCTTAAATGGTAGCCAATTCCCCACTTTTTCTTCAGGAACAGAGATGAGCCAACACAATTCAGGCTGCCATGGGAGATAATAGCTTTGCGATCTAGAGAAATAGCAAGGAATAATGTTTTTGTTGTTATCTGTTTAGCAGTACAAAGCCCTCTATGCCAAATTCCAACTGTAGCATGAATGGGCATTTTAGAAAAGTGAGTCAGCAAAAGGAAACCAACAAATATTACTTCAACATCAATTATTCCTTGTGAAAAGCCTATGTTTTGTAACTGATTTTTATTGCTATATAAATGCAGATTTGTTCCCTTGCAATAGGATAAGCCTACATAATGCATGGGCAACCTGAATATCCCATATTCCAAATCTCTGCTTCAGTAAGGTGATCGCTGACTTGTTCCCAGCTAAACTACAACCAGTCCAACCTAATTCTTGAGGTTGAACTTGCTTCCCAAAGTAAAATACTTTTTAGGAGGAAAGTCAAAATAAAATTATGAAAAAATATAGTAATTTTGTTATTAGACTCTGAAACTGTACCCTGTTGGATGAAAATCCTTGAGAGAGAACACCTCAATCATTGTGCTATAAATGAATGCAAAGAAGGAATTTCCTGTTGGACTGCAAGGAAAAAAGAATGAAGGGGAGAAGTGGCAGTGGGCCTTCAAACTTGTTGAAGATAGAAGATAGGAAGAAGTGAAAAGTGAGCTTAGTATGGAAAATAAAACCATCAGATTGAATTCATTAAATAGCACTCACAACAGCAGTTAGACTTGTATACAGCTTCACAGTGCTTTACAGCCCTTTCTAAGTGATTTACAGAGTCAGCATATTGTCCCCAACAATATCAGCCCTCATTTTACTGATTTCGAAAGGATGGGAGGCTGAGTTGAGCCAGTTGGGATTGAACTGCTGATTGTGAGCAGAGTTAGCTTGCAATGCTGCATTCTAACCACTGCGCCCCCACAGCTCTTAGAAGATTTATCATCCAACATTTTATTGGGACTTCACAATGTCCAGAGTGGGCTCCAAATTTCTGGAACACTGAACATTTGCATTAGGATGCTATATCAAGCAGTTATCTATGCAGTTCAAAAGAATGTTCTTCTATGAAATAGAAACAGAAAGAGGCCTGACAACATATACAGAAGTAGCATTACAATATACCTCTATTCCTCTTACTTTGTGCTTGTTCCTATATTGTACATTGCTTTATTATAGGAAGATCTACTCACCAGAGAGGATATCAGCTTCGTCCATGAACTGAGTAGTTAACAGAATGACTCGACCTGCTTTTTGCTCATTTAGGAGAGTCCATACTTGATGTCTAGAATAAGGATCCAATCCTGCAGTTGGCTCATCTAGTAATAAAACCTGTAGGTGAGAAGTACAAGAAGTACGTATTTTAACTCCAATTGTATTGAGAAATGAATGGGAGAGAAGTTATGCTATCAAATTTAGAGAAACCTGAATAGGTTTGGACTAAAGAATGTTTCATACACGTAGAAAATTCAAGGTTGTATACTTCAAGGTAGCACATTTGTGTTGGATGGAACTAATAATATATCCTCAAAAGGAGTGAAATGCTGAAAAACCACTGTAAGACAAAACCATGTATGAAGCACTATATACAGACAGAAATATAAGAATGGTGTCAACTCTAGAAATGACATTAGCTGAATCCATACTTTTCTCTGCTTTGTTTTTTAGGTGTCACATTGGGGAGGAGGCGGACTTATGGAATGCAGCGTGAGGGTTGGAAATTCACCCCTGTGTTCGATGAGGGGTGAATCGTAGTAAAATAAACTCGAGGTAGATTCTAAGAAAACACATTTTTATTGTAAAATAAATAACAAACAAACTTACTGGCTAATAACTACATTCTGGTAAAGTTCCTAGCCTACCTCCACGTGGCAGGCAAAACAGAAAGAGAGAGAGAGAAAGAAGAAAGGCAAAAGGACATGCGTAGAAGGCTTACAGAGAATAATCAGTCTACCGTATGTCTTAGAATATAAGCACAGCTGGCAAAACCAAAAAAAAAACATCGTGACATGCAGAACAACAATAAGTCACCTGAGCACCAAGGCTAACCCAATGTAACTTAGCAACAGCAGGAGGGAGTGCTAGGAAGCTCATCACCTGCTTGGTTGCCTAACGTGACCTATTAGCCAGGTGATGGCCAGTATGTATCAATTAATTATGCCAAAGCGCAGGAATTATTCAGAGTTGGCTTTACATTTGAACATGCCAATATGATGTACCCAATAAACAGGGTCTTTGAGAAAGGAACAGTGTCAGAGTCTTGAACTGGTGTGGAGCATTATTCAGAACCATAACAAATGGTTTGCAAGGGCAGAGAAGCATAGAGAAATACAGCAAATTGTGATCAAAATTAATTTGAATTACATTTTGTTTCTTTTTCTTATGTTATTCTTTATTTTCTTTGGCTTTTTTCTTTTCTTTACTCTGTTTAATATTGTTTAACCTAAGGAGAAAACTGCATGGGTAATCTCTGACTTACAACTGTTCGTTTAGTGACCATTCAAAGCAGGGGTGGGTTCCTGCCAGTTCTAACCTCTTCTATAGAAGAGGTTCCACAAATCTATAGTGCCGTTTAGAACTGGTTCCAGCTCCCTCCCCCTGCCTGTCCGCACATCATCGAGATGAAGAGCGAGAGGAGGAATTCTGGGAGTTGAAGTCCACAAGTCTTAAAGCTGCCAAGTTTGAACACCCCCAGGTTTTTTTTCTAAAGGGTTAGTGGTGCAAGGGTCTTGTAACTTGACAGCTTTAAGACTTGCACACTTCAATGCCAGAGTTTCTGAGCCAACATTTTGGTTGCTAAGTGAGTTTCACCACAATTTACAAGTTGGCTACGCCCACCCAGTCACATGACTACCAAGCCACTCCCACTAAGTCATGTGGCTGGCAAGCCACTCCCACACAGTCACATGGCCGGCAAGCCACTCCCACAAAGCAGGCCACACCTACAGAAGAGGTTCTAAAAATTTTTGAAACCGACAACTGATTCAAAGATACAATGGCACTGAAAAAAGTGACATATGACTATTTTTCACATTTAATGACCATTGTAGCTTCCCTGTGGTCACATGATCAATATTTGGGCACTTGGCAATTGACTCATACTTATGGCCTTTGCATTGTCCCTAGATAATGTGATCACCTTTTATAACCTTCTGACAAGCATAGTCAGTGGGGAAGCCAGATTCGCTTAGCAATCATGTTACTAACCTAACAACGGCAGTGATTCATTTAACAATTGTGGGAAGAATTCACTTAATAACTGTTTTGCTTAGCAATGGAAATTTTGCGTTCAATTGTGGTTGTAAATTGAGGGTTACATGTATTATATGTATATTATATATAATATTGAGCAATATCATTCAATATAGATGTTCAATTACTCTTTATGATTAAATAAGAAAATTGGAAAATCCATTGGCTTTAGAATAAACTTTATGAAATCTAATTTTTGGCAACTAAATGAAATTAATCCAGATGAGAACATTTCCCTTTTCACAAAAAGCTCAAGCAAGTGTTAAGAAACCTCTGAGGATAGAATTGTATTTTTCAAAGAAATAAAGCCAGAGAAGAGTATATCAAATCCTTGTTCTTCCTATTTCCTATTAGAAGAAAGGAATCAACTTACCGGTATATACAGATTCTGGAAGTACATATTTAAATTAGGGACTTCTATAATCTATACAGATCAAGGAAGGAAAGAAGGGAGGGAAAGAAGGAAAAATGTGTGCAATAGACTTTTTCTCCCATGGGTGATTTTTACCTGTGGTTGTCCTAAGAAAGTAATCGCCAGAGTCAATTTTCGTTTCTGTCCACCACTTAAATTCTTAGCTTGTGTATTCTGAATGGCACTGATATCCAAGAGAGTCTGTATTTTTTCTACCTATAAAGAATAACAATGTACATTTATATTCATTTTAAACAAATATTTTATTGCACATTTTTCCACAAATATCTCTATCACGCACTTAACAGATCTGTGACATTATCCATACAACTGGAATCAATATTGAATACATTATATACTTTCTATTTCCAAACATTCTCACCCTGTGTACATTTCCATTTCTTATTTCTATTGTCTATCCATTCATACCATTTCGCCCATACCGCATAGTATTCTGAATCACCCTTTCCCTTTAACTCTAATGTGAGTTTGTCCATTTCAGCACACTCATATATTTTTTGGATTACTAATCCCTCTGGCGGAATTCTATCATTCTTCCAATACTGTGCGAAAGCAATCCTTGCTGCCGTTATTATATGTAACATCAGGTATTTTAAGTGTCTATTGTACTTTGCACTGATTATCCCCAGGAGAAACATTTCTGATTTGAATTCTATTTGACATTTAGTTAATTCCTGCAGCCAATTCTGTACTTTCAACCAACATCTTTTCGCTTTGGGGCATGACCACTATAAATGAAAGAAGGTATCTTTGTCCCAGTTTACATTTCCAGCACTTTGGGTTTAAATTTTGGTACATCTTGGCTGGCGCTACATGCCAACGGTAAAACATCTTGTATTGATTTTCTTTATAGGTCACAGATTTCATAATTGTATAATTTTTGTTCCAAATTGTCTCCCAATCTTCTAATTCTATGTTGTGTCCAAAATTTTTGGCCCAGGCATTATTGGTTCTTTTACAACCTCCTCTGCCCTATCAAATTTTAGTAAATAATTATACATTTTGGTTATTAATTTTCCCTCTGGGCCTACCAACAGTTTACCTAATTGTTGTGGTTGAATATCGAATCCATATTCCTCAGCATCCTTTTTATATCTCGATTGTAATTGTAAATATGGCCACATATCCTTTTAGTCCTGATTTTTTTTGAGTTTCCGTTGGCAATCTAAAATTTCATTATACCTGTACATTTTACCTATATCTAATGTGTTGGGATAAATCATAGCCTTCATGGTGGATAACCACCAGGGGATCTTCATATAGTGTTTTCTCCTTACGTCTTCCCAAGTTGGTATTAACACATCCTTTATTTTATGTCTGTAAAAATAAGAATGTGCTTTATTTCCCTTATCCCACAGAAAGGCGTGCTATCCCTTTTGTAAATCGTGCCCTTCCGATGTTAGAACGCTTTTATTTTTTAGATTTATACAATTTCTAATCCAAACTAATGTTGAAACCTTGTAATAGAGCTCCCACACCAGGAGTCCAAAGCCATCTCTACCTCTTCTATCCTGGAGTGAAACTAGTTTTTTCCGTGCTTTTCTACCTGACAGGACAAATTTTGTAATTATTTTATTTAGGTCTGTAAAGAACCTCTTGCCCAATTTTATAGGGATTGTTTGGAATAGTTAAAGTAATTTGGGTAACATATTCAGTTTAACAGTTCTTATTAAAATGAATATCTTCCTATTAATTCTTCCTAATAGAGATAATTGTAGTGTTCCCCATCTTTCCAAATCCTTCTTTATTTGTTGGAATAATTGTATATAATTTTCATCTTTTATCAAGGAGCACCTTGCAGTTAACCATATTCTCAAATATTTAATTCTCCTAGTAATTTGTAGTCCCATTTCCTCCTCTAATTCTTTTTTCTGATTCATTGTTAAATTTTTCATTAACATTTTGGTCTTTTCTTTATTAATTTTAAGGCCTAATATGTCTTCATATTTTTCTATTTCTTGTAATAAGATGGGGCCAGTTTCCAATGGCTCCTTGATCCTTGTTCCTTTTATTTTTAGGTTTGCTCTAATTCTGATTAATAGTATTTCTAACGTCAGGATAAAGAGTAGAGGTGACAGTGGACACTCTTGATGTACTCCTTTCGTTATTTGGAATGTTTTTGTACACCATTTAGTATTACATTTGCCTTTTGGGTAGTGTATACAGCTTCTGTCATATATCCAAACTTATCTCCAAAATTCATACTTCTGATTTGTTGGATCATAAATTGCCAATTTAAGTTATCAAATGCCTTTTGAGCATGCTTTGTAATATTCCAGTATATTTACTACCATTCTTATATTGTCTCTTATTTGCCTGGTTGGTAGAAATCAATTCTGGCCAGGGTGTATATTTTCGTTTAATAATTTTTTCAAACTTTCTGCTATGATATTCAGAAATATTTTGTAGTCAGCGTTAAGGAGCGAAATTGGGCTATAGTTCTTAATTTGATTCTTGCCTATATCCTCCTTTGGTATCAAGGTGATAGAGCCCTCCCTCCTTGATTCCTGTAGTTTTGCTTCATTCAACGCTTCATTACATATTTCCATATTTCTATTAATTCACCCATAGTTTTATAAATTCCCCCTGGAAGGCCATCTGGCCCCAGGTCTTACTGTTTTTTTGTTTCTGGATTGCCTCTTTCAATTCTTCTAATGTTCTTTTCTCTTCTTCAAGTGCTGTTCTGTTGCTCTTTTCTCTTCTTCTAGTGGTGGCAACCCTTTCCCCTTCAAATAATTACTTATTTTATCCTTCACTATTTCTTCCTGCATATAAAGATTCTCAAAATATTTTTTTTTGTGATCCTCTTTTTCTCATCTTCATTGTTTTGTAAACCCCCCATTTCATTGTGTAGCTGCTGCTGTATTATCCTTCCTTCTTTTTCTTTTTTTAATTTATAAGCTAGCCATCTCCTTGGCTTGTTAGCATGTTCGAAGAAGTTTTGTTTGGTAAATTTTAGGTTTCTTGCCATATCATCTTGTTCTAATATATTTAATTTGTGTTTCGCTAGAGCCAATATTTATTTATTTTGTTCACTCCCTAATTCTTTTTGGAGTTGGTTTTCCAATTTTCCAATTTCTTCCTTTAATATATTATGCTGCTTCCATTTCTCTTTATTTTTCTTTGCCATGTATGCTATCATTATCCCCCTTATGTATGCTTTCATTGTGTCCCACAGGTTTGATAGTGAGGTATGTTGTTTTTTTTATTTTCTTCGAAAAACAGTGTCAATTCTTTTGTGATCGTTTGTGTATATTCCGTCTCATTTAAAATCTGGGGGTTTAATGTCCATCTCCTCTTCTTTTTTTCTTTGGCCTCTCCATGTTATTTCAAGGGGGTTATGGTCTGCCCATGTGTTTGGGAAAATCTCTATCTTCTCTATCCCTTTACCTACTTCCTTGTTCATCCATATCATGTCGATCCTCGACCATGATTTATGGGGGTTGGAATAAAAAAGTATATTTATTTTCTTTTGGGTGCAAGTTTCTCCACATATCTATCAAGTTTAATTCATCTGTCATCTTAAAAAAAGGTTTTGGTAGTATGTTCCTTTTTGCCTTGTTCTTTTTATCACTGGTATAGTCATTTTTAATATTCATTACCCCATTATAGTCACCCACAATACATATGTTCCCTTGCCCTGATTCAATAATCTTTTCATGGACTTTCTTGTAGCATTCCCCTTGGTTTTTATTAGGAGCATAGATAACTACCAACAATATTGTTTTTTGCCCTATTATAACTTTCATCATTAATGTTCTTCCTTTTGGATCTGCATAGATTTATTATTATATCTAAATCAATTTATTATATTCTAAGTATTTTTCATCTTGTTTTTTAATGTGTACCTCTTGGAGACACACAATATCTGCTTTCTGAATAATTAATTTTGTAAATATTTGTTTCCTTTTCACCAATGCATTTAGTCCATTAACATTAATCAATAGTAATTTCAATTCTTCCATTCTCCTATTTATCTACCAATTTCTGGTTCCTGTTGGTCCTTGTAGCTCTTTGTGTTCTTGTTCTAATACCTCCTTCTTCTTAGTGTTCTTTCTCTTCTGCCTTCCTGTTGTTGTTCTTCTTCTTCTTGACGTTTGTTCTCCAGCTCCTCCCTGCTACTATAGTCCTCTTCTACTCCTGTCAATTGATCATATAGTTCCTGGATCTTATCTAAGTTATCAATTTTGATCTTTTTGCCCTGCCAGGAGATGGTTCCACCACAAAACCGCGATGCCCTTATCCGCGCCGACTTAAGTGCAGAGGCAAATCCGTGGCATCCGAAGCGCTAAGAACAACATGACCCTACTGCCGCAACAACAGCGCCGACAGAAGGGCATTCTACATGCTTCGTTCTTTGCCTTCAAAGGTAGCCCTCCTCCTCCAGCTGACAGTGGCAGCGGGCACGGGGCAAAGCGGGCTGCCCAGCAGCAGCAGCCCGCAGGAAGGGTCCAGCTCAGCCGCAGGAAGCTGCTGCCCCCTGCGGCTGAGCTGGACCCTTCCCGCGGGCTGCTGCTGCTGGGCAGCCCGCTTTGCCCCGTGCCCGCTGCCACTGTCAGCTGGAGGAGGAGGGCTACCTTTGAAGGC